GAGACCTCGGCCATGTGAGGACACAGTGAGAAGGCGGCTGCCTGCAAGCCACTAAGAGAGCCCTCAAATCATGCTGACACCTCAATCTAGGACTTCTAGCCTCTAGACTGAGAAATAAATTCTTGTTCTAAACCACCCAGTCTGCATTTTGTTATAACGTCCTGAGCAAACGAAGACAAAGATTAATCCAAGGCATAGACCATGGATAGATGACTCCTGGCAACTGATGAAAGTATGTTGACCAACTGGGCATGTGTATAATGTGCTCAATGCCTTTTCTTGGAGTTGCTGTGAAGAAAGGAGATTGTGCCTTGGTTAAACTGCTCTGCCATCATTCATCAAACAGTTTTGGGTAGTGTCTATACACCAGGTTTTGGGAAGAGAAGGGTACGGATGTAGTTTCCCCCAAAATATGAAAATCAAAGACATGATAATTGACTCACTTCAAAATCCTTTGCCATCTGCAGCAGAGTTGTTCAGTGTACCCAGGAGACAGACATCTCCAAGCCTGATGGAAGTCTGATATCTGGGGTGTCAAGCAAAGTCTTCTTTAAATGTGCAAAACTTGGTACTAACTGGAACAAATTACTTTATTCTAAGTCACACAGCACATTGAAGGCTTAACCTGTATCTTGCACTGTAGGCATTACACTTTTAAATAGAAAGTCTGCAAGTGAAACACTTGTTAAACTTTCATTGACTGGCTGGGCATGGCGGTTCATGCCCGTCATCCCAGCAATTTGAGTGGCCAAGGCAGGAAGATCACTTGAGGCCAGGAATTCAAGATTAGCAACAGAGCGAGACTCTGTCACTACAAAAAATAATTTTAAAAAACATTTTCACTGAGGGGCTATTCCATGTGGAGTATTGACGTGTGTTATGGGACTACAGTGATAAACCAGACCATCAGATGCAGACTTGACTTTCAAAGGACTACATATTCCTGGAACAGGGGGGTGTGGGGTGAGAAGGTGGAGGGTTGCCTGGCAGAGGAAGGAGTATGTGTAAAGGCAGAGAAGTTCAAAGGGAAAAGTTTGGGGCATGGCCAGCTCAGATTGATTGGGCATGACCAGTTCAGCTTGGTAGGTTGGAGCATAGGATACTCTGAGGAATGGTAGATCATGTTGAGAAAGCCAGCTCAGGTTTTGTTGTGTTGGGATTTGAGGATCTAGCTAAGGAGTGTATGCATATTAGGCAACCTCCAAAGGTTATGAGAACACTATCAGAACCATGCTTCTTTGCCAATCCTGGTCCCTCAAGCCCAAGCTAAGGAATCCAGAGTGTTACTAGGATAGACTGCCCAGCAGATTCACCTCATGCCTGCTAAGTCAATGGTGCTAACTCAACTTTGCCCCGACTGCTGAGGCTATGCGTAGATCTGGGTTCATGTCTAGACTAAAAGAGCTCATTTGGGTTTGCCACATGAAATGCGGTCATGCATTTGCCACATGAAATGCGTTTGCATAAAATGCGTTCTAAATGAATTAAAGAGTCGAGAATAATAAGCCATGAAAATGAGAGAAAAATCTGAATTGATATTTATCAAATTTCTCAAAGGAAAATAACTCAGTAAGTTTAAAGAAAATTAAAATGAAAGAAGTCCAGGGAAAATATGTTAAATTTTCTATAGAGACCTAAAATCTCTAGATTTTAGACAAAATACTTTAAAAGGAAAACAAGTTGAGTATTAGCAACATATTTAATAACTAAATGGGTTCATTGACTTAATACTATATAGAGTTCACAAAGATCAATTTTTAAAAATGATCCCTAGAAGAGAAACAGGCAAAGAATACAAGCTGACAGTTCACAATGAGGAAAAACAAACAGCTAATAAAAAGAAATGTCTAATGTTCAGTGTTTTCAGTAACCTAAGAATTGCCAATTAAATAACTACATCTTCCTGCAGATTCAGTACCCTGCATGAGCACTGTCATACTTTGCTGATATAAATTATTCCCTTCTGAACTAATTCATGTATTTTCCTAAGTTTTATTGGAAACAGCAATTGTATAATACACGACATCCCTATTGAATTCCTGAACCACCCACATCAGGTTTATCTAGCTGCCAGCACCCCACACCTGGTGCCCCCACCTTGCTCATAGACATACAGATAAGCTCTGAATTTCTGCCTTGGCAAGTTGAGGGATAAGGAGAGGCCAGGGAGCCTCACACCAGCATAGTCTGTGTCTTGAACAATACTGTGACCACATGGTGGGTTAGCGTGGAGAAGAAACAGCCAGGGATTAGAGCCTGGAGACCAGACTGGTGTACCCTTGGGAAAGTATTCACTTAACTCTCCAGATCCCAAATTGTTTGTTTTTTTTTAATTCAGGATAGAAAATTTTTTATTATACAATTTTCAAATACAAAAGAGAAAAGCAAAATGAATCTCTGGGCACATGCCATTTGGCTTCAACAATTGACATTTTGCCAGTGTCCTCTCTCATCTAATTCCCTATGCTTTTTTTCCTTAGAATATTTTAAAGCAATTACTACACATTATAATTGATATGAATTTTAAAAAGCAATTTATGGGCCAGGTGCAGTGGCTTACATCTGCAATCTCAGCTCTTTGGAAGGTCGAGGTGGGAGGGTTGCTTGAGTTTGAGACCAGCCTGGGTAACATAGTGAGACATCACCTCTACAAAATCAAAAAAAATAAAAAAAAATCAAAAAATTATCCAGGTGGTGGCACGTATCTGTAGTCCCAGCTACTTGGGAGACTGAAGAGGAAGGATCATCTGAGTCCAGAAGGTCAAGGCTGCAGTTAGCTGTCATTGTGCTACTGTTCTCCAGCCTGGGCGACAGAGACCCTAACTCAAAAATTAAAAATTAAAAAAGCAATTTATACCATGTACCAGCAGCTCTTGGCTTAGGAATTCTACTCCTAGAAATCTCTTTAAGGAAACAAACAGAAATGTAGAAAATACTTTATGCATGAAGATCTTTCTCTTATAATAGGGAAACACTGGAAGTAACCTAAATGTTAAAAAAAAAAACAAAACTGGGGAAAGAGCCCTCAGTTTTTGCCGGCTCAGTAACAGTCTTTCCTGCAGTTAACATAACCACTCTTTTTCCTTCAGGCGCTCCCCTTCAAAATTCCCCGTCTCTGTGATTGTGATGGTGCTGAGGTAAACCCCCAATACTAGGAAAGGACACACCCTGGCTGGGCCAATGAGGGCACCCATTCCTAGACACCATATCACTCAAGAATGGCCAGGTCCCAGCTAGGAAGGCTGCATCCTCTTTGCTCTAAGATCATTGGCCACAATTAAAACCAACACAGCAGAAAAAGCCAGGATACAAGACTGAGTTCTGATGGACTGTAAGACCAATGCACTTCTCTTTTTGCATAGACGACTTTGACTTGGGTTTTTGTTCCTAGCAACATAGTCCCAAGACAGACCATTATTTGGTAGCCTTGGTATACTGACCTGACAAAATACCCTGCAGTCATTCTAACCCAGCCTTGGGAATGGTTTCTAGGAACACAGTGAAAGAAATGTGACACATAACCAATAAACAGCATGATCTTGATTAGGTTTAAACATTTCCTGGGAGCAAAGATTGGAAGAAAACATAAAAATACTAGTAGCCATGCTGGTTGGTAAGGTTATGAATTTCAAACTTTTAATTGCCTATATTTTCTATACAACTATGTCTTACAAAAACTAGAGAAAAACTAAAAAGGTTGACGCTTTATTGATTTATACTCCCTTAAATTCAAAAAAGGACTTAAATTGTAATTGTCTTCTAATGATAATTTATAGAACATCTGGTTTTGAAATGAGTTTGGAATTCCCCTAAGAAATAACAACCAACCTACATTACAGAGTGGAGTACTATTTCCTCAGTACTAACATTGAAAAATATGCCATTATAGAAAATAGAGTGTCTCCTCTTCAATTACTTTGCGATCTTCAGTCTATTACTAAGAAGGGAATATCACATTAACAACCTCATCAAAATATTTGTGCATTTATTTCATTGAACCTTGTCTCCCCCACATATCTGCAAGGACTTTGAACTTGGACTACAAGAGAGCATAAACTATGATTATTGCCCAGACCTGGCAAAGATAAATGGCCTTGATCAGTTGGGCACAGATTGATGGCCAGGACAAAGCCCACCAACTGCAGCCATCTGGCCTCTGCTACTCCAGGCTCCTTGGCCACTCTCTCCACTTTGATCTTTTTCTGATCAGGGCCTGCCTTGATCTCTGGCCCAAGGCCAACCCCACCCACAACCTGACACTATCTCCTGTCTGGTTAAGGCCAGGGCTGTGTCCCTCTTCTGCAGCCTGTGGGTGCAGGGAGACCAGAAGCCTGACGCGAAGCCCATGGCATGAGGGAGTAATACACCCACAAAAACCCAGCAGCAGCAGCATAAGACCAGGCCTCTGCTTCTCCTCTTGTCCCTGCTGAGCCCCTCTACTCCAGTGTCATGATCAAGGCCATCCACTCCTACCCTGCCCGGGGCATCATTCTTAGAGGCTTGATTAGGTCAGCTGTGTAAGAAACCAGCACCTGCACAAAAAGTAGCATACAGTGCCCCCTAGTGGCCAATCAAAACATAATGGTGACATTCCATTATAAAATAATCTGCGGCACCTAAAGATGTGAAAACCTATATTTAGCTCTTACCTGAATATAGATGTGTCTCTTCATGGTGCCAAGTGCTGAAGACAAAACTCCCAACAAGTGATTAGATGGAGAAAACCAGATAGCAGCCCTCAACCTAATTCTATCACAAGGTACACTAGCACCTGAAGTCCTGAGGCAGCACCTGTAACAAAGGCTGGCTTCTGGCCATCTCCAAAATTTTAGGACCCAGTGAGCTTTTTGCCAATGGGAAAGAGTGGCATTATGCACTTCAAGCTTTGGAACAGCCAATAACTGATTTAAGAGCACACTGAAATAATAACATAAAAGGGTTTCGATAGTGGATACTAAAACAAAGTGTAATAAATAAATATTGAAACAATAAATCCAACACACTTCATTAAAATGCTTTTAATTATTGATGCTTTCAATAAGAAGTCTGTTTTACTAAGTTTAATATAAATCATTTTTCTTAAACAGAAGCTGTTTGCTGCATCTCTGTTCTTTTTGTGGTTTTTTAACATAATGACTCATATTTAGCTTTTCTCTTTGCCATTTAAGGATTCAGGTTCGATTCCTGACATATCCCCTTAAGAGGAATTTTATATCATCTTCTGAAATCATGCATGTTGGTAATAAGGTTAAACAGTATCTTCACTCCTGAAGAAATGTGGTCCTTTTAGTGCCATGTCATCTTCCCTCTGATGACCTAAGTAGCAGCAGCATTAGGAGCTATTTAGAGGTTAAGAGCAGCCGAGGAAGCCTCAGGTCATTATTGAGAGTGGCAGTATTAAACAGCTATGGAGAGTGGCTTGGGAGGGGATTTGGTTGAGGCTGGTCCCCACCTGGGTCAATGCTACTGATAAAAAAAAGACCAGAAACACACAACATTCCCCTCCTCTTTCTTTCACAATCCCATTTTGGGGCCAAAATCATAACACTAATGTGTATGTGTTTTGGTTATTATATAGTCTCCACTTAGGTGGGGAAATCAAATTCAGGAGAAGTTTGTTCTAGGTATCACTTGAGAATATAACTTATTTTTAAAGATCTGTATAAGAAACAGTTTTGCCCTATGTCGAATCAACAATCCCCAGGACTGTCAGATGTAAACCGCCATGAGTAGGAAGCTCCATCTGTGTCACCGTTACTGGGCTGTTCTGGCAAAATTCCCTCAGGCACAGACAGGAGGAGCCGAGCCCTGTGCCCTGGGCTCAGAAGGCAGTGCTGGTCACTGGGCTCCACAGCACGGTGGCTGGGAGGAACAAGGAACATACTCGAGTGCCTTCAAATGCCAATGTGCTCTTCAAGGAGCACCACTAGAAAAATAATTAAAATGGAGAGAACAAAGTTCCTTTGATTATAGAGAAAGACATGTCTCTATGAAAATGGCTTCAAAATATGAAAAGATATTTAGCAACCACATCTTCCAAGAAATCTAGTAACAGTCCAACTCTAGTTTACAAACAGGCGAGCAAGCCGACCAGCATGTGTCAGAGAACTGGCTAATATTCTGAAAAAGGTAAAGCCCCATAAGTGTGTACGAATCATTTTAAGAAACTTCATGTGTAGCTAAATTCACCATATTCTGTTTCACCTAGAAAGGGGAAGAGAGAAAAAGAATTAATTCATTACTGGGTTGATGAATCTTGAAAATTAGCTCCTTCTAGGGAAGGACAAGAGAAACTTCTGATAGACAGGTTTAAGATTTCGAGTTCATTTCAGCCACTACAGTGTACTGAAGAACTGTAGTTAAAATGCAGATTCCTAAGTTCTGGTTTGTTAAAATGCAGATTCCTAAGTTCTAGTTTCAGTAGGTTTAGATGGGTAGGGATCCTCATTTTGGCCAGCAGCCCTCCTCCACAAGTATGACCTTGACACACTTTAATGAATGCTGCAGGGATGCAGCAATGAGTAGGCCATGGCCATGGCTGCTGTCATTCTCTCATTTTAAGAGAATATCTCAAGGCTTCAAAGACAAAAACAACTGAGAACAGAGGGGGTCCTGAACACTAGGCAAAAGAGCAGTGATCAGCCAGTGCCTAGGGATATAGAGCTCAGGGGGAGGTGAACCTGCCCTACTTCCTGCTGCAGACTTAGCCACCATGGGCCAGGGAATGTGTCTCCAGGTAAAAGGGCTGGGCAAGTCTGCAATCCATGATCCTCTGCTACTCCTGTCTCTGCCAGGAACTATCTGGATGCCACAGAAGGTAAAATGAGGCCCAGCGCAAACCTCGACCTACCAGTGACGGGAGGCGATGCCTACACTCATGAGATCTGCTCACACAAGGATGCTGGCAAATACTTCCCGTACACAGTTAAACTTCCGCTCAAAATGCAAATATGCTCATGGAGGTCTTGTTGCAACAGTCCAGTTAGGCAAACCACATTCAGTTAGGCTCTGTATCAGCTCTAACCAGGTAGTCTCCATCTGAATGAAATAGATTTCAGATGTAGAGGGCTTTATGGTACTTGGAGAAATAATATCTTCCACAATTGACCAAGGAAGCAAGGCCAAGTTAGGCGGCTGCTGATGTGGGGATGCTCCAGTAATGTCGTGGGTCCTCTGAGTGGTTCCCCAAGAACATACAGGCCATGGCCCTCACAGGCATTACTGGATACTCCTCGGACAGTTCTGGTGGCAAACCTGGTAGATGAGATGGTGGGGGGGAGGTCCAAGACTATGAAGTGGACAGTTACTCCTCAGAGGCACTTGGCCTGATGGGGCAGCCTCAGGCCCTATCCATTCCTTAGGGCTTTGGTGCACTGCCCAGGTCCTCCTCTCAGGACAAGAATATGTTCTGTCTTATCTCTGAGCTGCAGAAAAATGCTCACTTGTCTGAATACAAGGGGAACCTCAAAAGTATCCATTTTGCTCCCTTATTCTGTGTAGGGACTCGTGGGAAAACAGCTTTATTTTGTTACAGAAGCCTGCACTGCCCTCGGGCATGTTCTTTATACAAAGAAAACTGCACTTCAGAGATTATGTCCTGTGAAAACAAACTTTAACTTCAAAGAACAGACCTGTCATTCTTACTGTCACCCTCCTTGATACTTTGTTGCCAGGTAATAACATAATTGAGACCTCTATATTCCTACAGAGTAAGAGAATTTAGCCAACCTGGAGGAGGCTCAGTGGCCCGCACCTCTTTTCCTGCAAGCACCACGGCAAAATACATGCCAGAACTGCTGAGTCCTTCATTCTGACAAAGAGTTTGAGAGTCTGTGTCTCTGATAATCGGCCACACAATCATTCCTAAACACCTGCTCTGTGCCATGCACTGTCCTGGGCCCTGTTTGGGATTTTAAAATATTAAACAAGACTGGCTCGGTGGCTCAGCCTGTAATCCCGCGCCTTGGGAGGCTGAGGTGAGTGAATTGCCTGAGCCCGTGGGTTTGAGACCCGCCTGGGCAACTTGGCGAGACCTCATCTCTACAATAAATCAAAAAATCAGCCGGGTATGTAACGCACACCTGTAGTTCCAGCTACTTGGAAGGCTGAGGTGGAAGGATCACTGGAGCCCAGCAGGTCGAGGCTGCGGTGGCTGGGAGCAGCCACTGCACTCCAGTCTGGGCGACAGAGTGAGACTCCAACTCAAAAAAGAAAAAAAAAATTAAACAAACGAGCAAAAAAAAAAAAAAAAACACCCTGACTTTGCTGTCAAGAAATTGACAATCATGGTAGAAGTCAATAGTCCAACATGTTCTACAATAGAATAAGACACAGGCTAAGTAAGTACTAAGAATGTATACCCCCGTGTGAACTGCAACCTACAAGTCTAGCTTAGTATCATCACCCTAATCTCCCCCAAACAGCAGGCAGCCAGTACAAGCAGAAAGTGCCTTATAAATTGCATTAGACAAGGAGCCTGGTCAGCTCCATGAGGCAGCTGGCGGGGAGGTTCAGTTTCACAGAGAGGAGTGAGGCGAGGGTGCTAGAGCCAGAGTGCTGGGTCTGAATCCCAGCGCCACTACTTCCCAGTCGCAAGATTCAGGCAGGTTTCCCACTTCCCTGTGAGTCAGCTTCCCGCTTCACACATGAGGAAAAACAGTACGTGCCTCAGAGGCTGCAGTGAGAATTCAGTGAACTAACACATGTAAACCAGCATGGCACCCAGTCAGTAACAAATGTTCAATGAGCCCCACTGCTATTGCTAACACTGTTGTTGTTACCACCTCCTCAGACATGACAGCAGTCCCTGTGCATCTGGAAAAGCACCAGCTTCTTGAATCCTGACCTAATACCAGAGACTCTGCTCAAGCCCCTCCTTCCTACCCTTGCCATCTTCCCGTTCTGCCCCTCCCCATGGCCTCTTTTATCTCAGCCTCCTCCCTCACAGGCACCCACTTTCTGGCAGGATAAACCACACATCCCCAACGGCACTCACAGTACTAGGGGTTGACAGGACGGGGTCACTTGCTCAGACTCAGATGTGGGATATTCATAGTCCAGACACACCGGAGTCTGAACCTCATGAGAAAATGCCATCATGGGTCACAGCTGGGCTCTGTCCAGGGCCCAATAAGTAGAGCCTCAACCTGGGGTCTCAACTCGTATCCAGGACTGCAGATAGAATCCAGGATGGTCTGTGAACTCGGCTGGGAATACTTTTTTTTTTTTTTTTTCATTTTCATTAAGCGCTAACTGAAATTTATCATTTCCTTGAATGGTGAGTGTAGGCAACAAACCATCGTGATGAGAGTGCATCTGTGACTGTCTCCAACACAAATATAAAAGTCACAGATGTTTTCATATGTTACAGACATTGCAGATATCTGAAAATACTGTCTTTAGACTTCCTACTTTGAAACTAAAGTTACAGACTCATTACTAGGTATTATTTATTCAATATGTTAATGAACAAGCCAACAAATTACTATACCACACATTTAGAAATATTGTTATAAATGTATTTCAATATAGTTGATTCTCTTTGCAATTCTATGCTTTTATGCATTTAAAAATATTATTCTGAGAAGGGATCACTGGCTTTACCAGCCTGCCAAAGGGATCCGTGGCTCATGAAATGGCTAAACCCCCTTGCCTTAGAAGGTTGAGGACCACCATAAGGGCTGCAGTATTAGAGAGGTGAAAGATGTGTAAGTACTTACTGCAATGTGACATTATAATATTCTTCAGGTGTCACTATTTTTGGTCCACCAAAGTAGTCCAGGACCCAGATATTGGTTATGTTCAACTTAGCGAAGAACCAGTTATGGCTGGAAGGCCAGGTTTTCATGTCAGGGTGTCGAGTGAATAATGCATTCTTTGCAAAGTCCACTTCTGTTCCATTCACCTAAAGGACAGGTGTGAAATAAACCCCAATGAGCCCCACTGCTATTGCTAACACTGTTTTATTTTTTCATGTGTTAGCAATATGTACTTCTAGCATTCTATACATCCTAAGTTACCTGGTTGTAAATACTGATGTTCACCTTAAGGAATCAAGAGAAAATAAAGGAAGCTTGAAGAATGCAGAGGACAATAATGATTGCACATGTTGGTGATAACAGATATAATGGAGTGGGAAACCATCATGGGTACCAATCTTTAGTGCTTTTTCATTGCTAAATGTAATTCTGAACTGCCAGAGTAACCAGCACAAGGCACTGTAATAAAATGCTACTGGTGCCCAAAACTTGTAACATTAGCAGATTTATCCCATAACATGCACACGTTAAACTTGCAGATGAGCGTACATGAAGGGTACAAATCCTTAGAAGCAGCACAACAGAATTCAAAAGCATTTGCCGCTGCTCTCCTCTCCCCTGCCAGTGAAGGACACTCAGCTACAGAGATGCATCCACACAGAATTTTCAGACTGTAAATAAAACTTGTCCAAGGCATTCATGATTGACAAGGTCAAAAAGAAAATCTGTAGGCTCGACAACCAGCTCAATGCTCAGGACGCCTTGCCCGCTGCCCTGCCCGCAATTTTATTTAACTTCTTCCTCTGGCTCCCCAAACATATTCACTTCCAGTTTTGAGTAATGGATACTCCTCTTGGGCCTACTTACTGTGCTCTCTCTGCTCCAAGTCACTGCTAAAATAGAGAGAGGAAGAGCCCAGGCGCAGGACATACTGTACAGTGTAGAACACACAGGCAAGTTTTGGCTGAGCAGATGTACCCAAACAAGAATAATTTCACATAGGAGCTGTATCCTTGCGACATCTGTTTGGCTTCAGAAATTGTTCATTTCCCTCCTAAATATCTCATTGAACACCACATAAAAGCGACTGATTAACACCTTTAGTTTTCCTGGAATTACTTCACATATTAGAACCTGTTCTAACTGTGTACCTCAGTCACAAATCAATTGTATTTTACTCTCAAAAGAGCTCTTCTTTCACAGTTAATAAGTTGATGCTCTTCTAAAGCCATCTCTCTTCATGTAGGACAACTAGGTTACCTTGGCCACAGTTCCTGACAGTATTATGTGAGCACAAAGGGGACTTTGGGGATCAAATCCATGCTTCCTGCAGAAGTCAGTCTGTGCCAAAGACACGGTCAGTGTAGCATCTGGATTTTTCTGTAGAGAGAAAATGAAGACCCTCTCATGTGAAACATGGTTTTTGAAGAGGTAGTACATTTCACAAGTTGCATATGTAATATCCCTGGAGCTTGACCAAGCTTTTAAAGCCCCATCTTCTACTCAGGGGAAAAATACTACTTGGATGGAGACTGCTCCTGACTCTCCCCACACCCAAAAGGGGTGAGGAGACTCATATTTAAATGTAACTGACTCAGAATTATTTCAACATATTTTTCCTTAAACTCTGAATTTGTTCAGTATTTATTGGAAGAATCATAATTATAGTACCCAGCCTCAAGTCTGGTCTATGGCCTTCACTGAAAGATCTACAGGGTTAAACTCAAATACAAAAACATTGCATAAAATGTTGCACAGTTGCTCAACTAGCTAATTATATAAGTTAAGCAAGAAAGTCGCTGAATCATGCTGCTTGGTTATCTTATGTTAGCAGGAACTGTCGTGTGACTTCAAAATTGGACAAGTTGTTCGTTCCTTCTTTAACAAGAGAAGTTGTGTCCCAGATTCAAAAAGTGAGGTAAGCAAAATCCTTAATTCTTTCTCATTTAGAAGTCAGCTTCATAAAAGGCACTGTTGACAGATTTCAGCAAAATTCACACATTGCATTTCAGACAATTTATCTCTTTAAACTCTGTCTTGTGTGGAGAATTATGCACTTTCACAGTGATCCATCAAAACAGTGTGTCATAAAGAGATGCCCTTGAAATCATTTAGACAAACATTCACTGTCCAGAAGCTCCTAAGCAAGGCACTAAAGGAGAGGAGGGTGCCCAGATAAAGTCTCTCTTCTCTGTGAGTTTATAATCTGGTTGAAAAGTTAGACATAAACAAAACTTAAGTAATGCCAAACAAAAATACAGAGAGGTCAGAAGGCAGCATATAACTAATTGCAAATGAATGGTGAAGTGTGTCTGAAGTTCATTGTAAGAAGACTAGCATAGCCTGGAGTGAGAGAGACACTACAGAGAGTCTTATATTCAAAATCAAGATAGACATGGGAGGATTATTAAAGGTAAAAGAAGTGATGACTGCAAAAAACACAGAACTGGGAGTACCTAAGACATGATACAGAGTACTGAGAAACCCAATTTGCTGGAGAGAGGCTTTCAGAGGCGGGGGTGGCTCAAATCCAAGTTAAGGATTCTAGATCACATTCTGTAGCCAGCATCTGGCAGTGCTTTCCAAGAACCACCTCCCTGGAAAGCTTGCTAAAATGCCGATTCCTGGGCTCCACTCCCGACCCAGGTGTCTGCATTTTGAACAAACACCCCAGCTATAAGCAGCGGCGATGTCCTTAAGGATTTCTGGCCAGAGGGTTTCTCTCAATGCCCCAGAGGTATTTTGTTAACTTAAATCTGGTGGGCAGCATGGATGGGGCAGACAGGAAGACGACCTCGAAGTTGTTCTAGGACTTTTAGGCATGAGATGATAAGCTGAAAGATGGGATGGTAGGGATGAAGAGGAAGGGACAGGGACAGATGGCAAAGAAAGCTTCCATCAGAAGCTTGTCAGGACTTGGGAACTGAGGGACTTGAGGAGGCAGTAAGAATTCCAGTTGTGTTTACTGGCAAAACAATACGTCCATTAACAGAAATGCAGAAGGTCAAGAGTAGCTGGTTTCAGGAGGAAGTTGAAGGACTGGACTTGAACATGTTGATTGGAGGTGGCAGCAAATTAACAGTAAAAATGAAGTGCAAGCAGTTAGCAATATAGAACTCTGATGCCTGAGCCCGCGGGTTCGAGACCTGCCTGGGCAACTTGGTGAGACCTCATCTCTACAATAAAGCAAAAAATCAGACGGGCGTGGTAGCGCACCTGTAGTTCCAGCTACTCGGAAGGCTGAGGCGGAAGGATCGCCAGAGCCCAGCAGGTCGAGGTTGCGGTGGCCGGGAGTGGCCACTGCACTCCAGTCTAGGTGACAGAGTGAGATTCCAACTAAAAAAAAAAGAACTCTGAGAGGTCAGAAATGGACACACATCTGGAAGCGAATCTTTATATATGGGAATGAAGAGACCAGAGCATATACGATCTTCTGATCATTACTGAGAACAGAGTGTAAAAAATGGACTTTGGGGGACACTCATTTTTAGTGGGTCAGAGAAACAAATCAGGAGTGACCAGAGAAGAGAAGGGCATATCACAAGAGAAGAGAGCCAACAAGGAAGGGAGGAAATAGTGAGAGGTCTTGAAGTCCCAAGATTCCCTTCTGACCCCGCTGGCTCTGCAGCCCAACTTGTCACATGATTACCAGCTCACATCAGCGACATCCTCTATAAACATTTACCATACAAAAATGCCACGAAGGATACACACCAAAGGAACATCCTGGTGGCAAGTACACTTGAAGCTCACAACCTACCTCGGAGTTGCAGAGGATAGGCATTTGACACATGAGGAGTGGTCCTAAACTGAGGCCTTCTTGTTCCTTCTGAACTATTTCAGCACCCTCAATGAGAAGATGGCAAGTGATCCATGGAGGGCAGGAGGAGGAGGTAAAGTGGAAAGCACAAAGACACCTTGAGTGGCTAATTGATAAAATCAGAGTCAGACAACTTCTGATGCGGCCAAGGCTTTTCACTGCCATTTTGGGATTCTGAAATCCTGAGAAGGTTCCCACCATATCTCTTTCTAGAGACATCAAAGACTTGGGCTGGAGCCCTTCCTGACAGCCTTTACCTGGCTGGTCACAGGTGGGTCCCTGCACCTCTGAGTCTTAGTTTCCCCATTCCTGACAAGGAAACAGCTCCCCAGTCACCTCCCAGATTCAAATATGCTCATGTATAGCTCAATCTCTCTTCTCCACCATCAGACTCACCAGGGAGGATTTTTTTTTTTTTTTTTTTTGGTGAGGATGTTGTTTCAGAATAAAATCTCAATTTTTTAACATGTTGGTAATGAATTCAAATTTATTTTTAAAAACAAAACAGAATTCTGTGTGGGTCCAAGAAAATGGTCTCTGGGACATAGGAGTACTCAGCTCGTGGACCACCAGTCTGTGACCTGCAATCTGAAGGCTGATGGACCTGAGATGGAACCAGGATTTGGTCGCTGGCTTTGCTCAATTTACTTAACCTTTCTAAGCCTCAAGAGCTTCATCTGCAGAATGGGGATAGTAATACCGACTTCAAAGAAGTATTAGAAAAGACCATGAGAGGTGGGTGAGTAGAGTGCCGAGGTTGGCCTGGCACAGAGAAAGTGCATAATCAAATACTAGTTTCTTGTATCCTATCTAGCAACAACACTCTACTTTCACAGTAACCTCAAACCTGAGATGTTTGTCAAAAAGACTCTCCACCAAGTCAGGCTTCATTCCTGGACTCTATGGCTCTAGACTCCTGAGTCCTGTGTCCATGACCCTGCCCTTGGGACAGCAGAGGCCCACCAGAGTTGTAAGCTTGGCCCTGTCCCAGAAGGCAGACAAAGGGTGCCCACCTTCAGCTCTGCACCCTATTGAGGAAGCCACTGTGCATGTGGAGGCCTACAGATTGCGATTGTCACTGTAATCGTCCACGACGTTGTGTATTAGCTTCTTGAGACGGAAGGGAAAGTTCTTAACTCAGTTAAGAAAGAGAAATCCTAAAGTCACTATCAGAGTGCTTAGTTACCCCCACAATCTAATGACCTGTAAGAGCCCGGTTAATGGAGGCACCGCGCCCGGAGACGACTCAGAGGTAAGTCCTCGGGGTGCTGCCAAAGAATTCACGCCAAGCGCGTCGCCCAGTGGCGGGAGCGTGTGCTAAACTCCCGGTCCTCAGCTGCCGCCCATCTGGGATGCTGCCGCGCCCGCCCGCCAGCGCGGGAGAGAAGATGCAGAGTCAAACCCTTTCCGACGCGCCACGCGCCTTCCGGAGCAGAATCCCGGGTGTCCAAGCCTCACCCCGCGGCCGCCCCGCCCGCTCACCTGCAGGTTTTGCGCGGAGAGCTGCATAGGGGTCAGGTAGAAGTAGGGCACGCCGCTGCCCGCGCTCGGGGGCCCGTCGCTGAGCGAGAGGACGTCGGCGAAGGGCCGGCCGCGCACCGCCTCGGACGTGGCGAGGGTGGCCAGCGCGCCCCAGTCGCACAGATGCACCGCGAAGCGGGCCACGCGC